TGGCTGTGAGCTGCAGCGACTTCACCGGGTACACAGCAAGCCGCTGCCCGAGCACCTCAACAGCAACACGAAGCGCCTACGAAACAAACAAATACAATAAAATAATAATAATAATTAAATTAAATTAAATTAATGTATAAATATATCGAAAAATTAAATTGTATACAACCAGCAACAGGCCCCTTATCCACACAACACATAACCCCATACTGACGGCGGGGACGCAGCTGCAACAACAGCAGCGACAGCAGCAGCAGCATGAGCAGCAGCAGCAGCATGAGCTGCAGCAGCTGCTTCAATAGCATCAACACCAACACAAATTCAGCAGCAGCAGCGGCAGCAGCAATAGCAACAGCAGCAGCAGTATCAGTATAAACACCACCTACACCAGCAGCAGCATCAGCCAATGATGCAGCAGCAACACCCTAACCAGCAGCAGCACCAGCAGCAGCAGCTCAGCAGCAACACCATAACTACCCTCACGAGCAGCAGCACCACCGCACCAACCACCACCTTCACCACCCGTGCGACCAGCAGCAGCAGCAACAGCAGCAGCAGCAACAGGAGCAGCAGCAGCAACAGCAGCAGCAACAGCAGCAGCAGCAACAGCAGCAGCAGCAACAGCAACAGCAGCAACAACAGCAACAGCAGCAACAGCAGCAGGAGCAGCAACAGCAGCAGCAACAGCAGCAGCAGTATTTTACCTCTATGATGCCCGTGCTGCCGTGTCTGAATAGCATGAGGTCTCGTACTTTTTCTAATCTATGAAAGGCCTTGGGATCGATTGGCTTCAGTGCTTTGATCGTCTCCCGCTGCTCCTCTCTCAGCCTGCTGCTGCCGGGGCCCTTCAGGTCTTCGCTGCAGTACGCGCTCCCGCTGCTCGGGTCGTAACAAATCATCTTCTATATACACACAACACAACTAACCCTAAACCCTAAACCCTAAACCCTAAACCCTGATGAAAGTAGTAGGGTTTAGCTGCTGGGCATACAGACGAGGATCGCTAGGGGAACACAATAAGCTGTGTGGATGTACAGAGCTATACATACAAACCCTAAACCCTAAACCCTAAACCCTAAACCCTAAACCCTAAACCCTTTGTTAGGGTTTAGGGTTTGATGGAGAAATACCTGTTGCTGCAACTTTTGTAAGAAACACTCAGCCAGGGCACTCGTCAGCACGAGATGGCTGTCTCTAAATTTTGTAGAAAAGCGCAGCACATTCTTATCCACGTCTCCACCCTTCTCACACCCCACACACCAACGATCCCGATCCCCTCCTCACGATCCCGATCCCGATCCCCTGCACCCGATCCCTCGTTCCCGATCCACTGCTCACGATCCCGATCCCAGATACCGATCCCCATCCCCTGCTCCCGATCCCCGATCCCCTGCTCCCGACCCCCTGCTCCCGATCCCCTGCTCCCGATCCCAGATACCGATCCCGATCCCCTGCTCACGATCCCCGATACCGATCCCCGATCCCCTGCTCCCGATCTCTTGATCCCGATCCCGGTCCCTTGTTCCCGATCCCGATCCCCTGCTCCCGATCCCCGATCCCGATCCCCTGATCCCGGCCCCCTGTTCGCCGCTCCCCTGTCCTGGTGCCCTGGCCCCGCCCCTCGCTGCTTGACCCCACAAGCCCAGCTAAAACCCCTCAACAACAAAAGACGATCCCGATCCCGATCCCGATCCCCCAGGGTGACTCACAGCGTCGCATTTGTTGAGGACTAAAACAAAAGGAAAACGAATCTTCACAAACGTCTTCACCTGCATATACAAACCACTAAACCCTAAACCCTAAACCCTAAACCCTGAACAATAAAGCCCAAGCTCAAAACCCTAAACCCTTTACCTCATGCCTGCGAGCCCTAAACCCTAAACCCTAACAACCAGATTCACTAAACTACACGAAACGCTTCAAACCCTAGTCTTGAAGCTAGACCTGTAGAGCCTAGGGTTTAGGGTTTAGGGTTTAGGGTTTAGGGTTTAGGGTTTAGGGTTTAGGGTTTAGCTTTACGAGCTCCATGACATCATCAGTAGTCCACGTTGTAAGATCTTCAGGAACGAGCGATGCGTCATCTGTTGGTGCTGCTGCTGTTGTGAGTCCCGCTGCTGCTGCTGCTTGTGCTGCTGCTGCTGCTGCTGCCTGAACCGCCTGGCTGCGGGCCCTCCTGCTGCGCTGCAGCTCCTGCAGCACAGCTGCTACCAGCGCCTGTGGGGCCCCGTAGCCGCTGAACTGTGCAGCAAACGTCTCGAGCAGCGAGCTGCAGCAGCAGCAGCAACAGCAGCAACAGCAGCAACAGCAGCAGCAGCACAAGCAGCAGCAGCAGCAGCAGCAGCAAAGGGATATGACGCCACAGCAACAAAGACAGGTCTATCAATAAAACCACCACCATCACCACCATCACGATCACCCCCATCCAGAGCAGGATCCTCATCCGCCGCACCAGTAACAATAAAAAAAAAAATAATATTTATAATATTATTTATAATAATATTAATTAAAATATATTTACCAGTTAGCTGCAGCATGCCGACGCGCTATCGACGACCACTTGCCCCAAATGTTTTTGAATATCCAGAGTTGAACTTCTCCCAGCAACCACTCGTGGTCAGCGCTCGGGTCGTAGCCGGTTGTTGTTTCTCCCTGCATAACAATTAAATAATAATAATTATTATTATTTTTATTATAATTGGTGCAGCAGCAGCAGCAGCAGCAGCAGCAGGGGTTGTAGTAGGAGGGGGGGGAGGAGAAACGGGAGCACCAGCAGAGATAGAAACGAAACTGTAGCAGTAGCAGCAGCAGTAGCAGCAGCAGCAGCAGCAGAAGCAGCAGCAGCAGCAGAAGCAGCAGCAGCAGCAGCAGCAGCAGCAACACAAGCAGCAGCAGCGGGAGCAAAAGAAACAAAAAAGAAACAGACATAGACAGCAGGATCAAAGGCAACATTAGTAGCTACAACCGCAGCAGCAGCGCATTCATACACAGCAGCATCAGCAGCAGCAACAGCAGCAACCGCAGCAGCAACACAACCATACACAGAAGCATCATCATCATCATCAGCAGCAACCGCACCCCAACTATACGCAGCATCAGCAGTAGCAGCATCAGCAGCAGCAGCATCAGCAGCACCAGCAGTAGCAGCAGCAGAAGCAGCAGCATCAGCAGCAGCATCATCATCAGCATCATCAGCAGCAGCATCAGCAGCACTATCAGCAGCATTTGATCACCGTATACCGAGAAGTACAAGTATCTCAACCGGGCGAAAAAAAGCCAAAAAAAAAACAAAAAAAAACAAAAAAACAAAAATTTACTTTTTCGTTGGTGTTTCCAGAAACATCAATGATATGCATCAACACGTCAGCCAGCCGCAGATCATCCAGAAACTTGCAACCCAAGCCCCGGCCCTCGTTGGCTCCCGGGATGAGCCCAGCAACGTCTAGCAGCCGCACAGGAATGTAGCGGCGACCACCCACACAACGGCCGTAGCGAGGCGCGCAGCTCACGCCGTACCTGCAGCAGCAGCAGCAGCAACAGCAGCAGCAGCAGCAGCAGCGGGAGGAGCAGCAGCGGGAGGAGTGGGAGTCGGAGGTGGAGGAGTATATACAGCAGCAGCAAGTGCAGAATGTATGGCATGAAGGAAGGATACAGACTGAAGGCTGTATGTGGAGAGTGAGCAGCAGCAGCAGCAGCAACAACAACAACAGCAGCAGCAACAGCAGCAGCAGCAGCAGCACCCACAGCAGCACCAACAGCAGGAGTAGCAGCAGCAGCAGCACCAACAGCAGCACCAACAGCAGCAGCACCAACAGCAGCACCAACAGCAGCAGCAGCACCAACAGCAGCAACAGCAGCAGCAGCAGCAGGAGCAGCAACTTACTTTTTGCAGGGGCAGTCAGTGACATAGTGGGCGATGCCTTCATTAGGGTTTATTGTGGTGAAGGGGTAGTTCCCCACCTTGGCCGAAGAACTCTCCGTCGCAGCATTGAAAAAAGTACTCTTACCTGCACAAACCCTAAACCCTAAACCCTAAACCCTAAACCCTAAACCCTAAACCCTAAACCCTCGAGAGAGTCGTTGGGGTATGGGTACAAAGAAAAATAATTTCGTCGAAAGGAATTGAATGCAAAGCAATGCATTTGTGCAGCAGATATATACACATTCTAAACCCTAAACCCTAAACCCTAAACCCTAAACCCTAAACCCTAGCGTCTGTTCACTGAAACTCGTGCGGATGCTTCACATACCTGCCGAGGGTTTACCCACGCAGCCGATGATGAAGTCTCCCCCCATTTCTACGCTGCATGCAGCAGCAGCTGCTGCTGCTGCAGACCTGCTGCTGCTGCTGCTGCTGCTGCTGGTTTGTTGCCGCTGCTCCTCGTGCAGCTACAGCTGCTGCGGCCGCTGCTGCTGTGCCTGTTTCTGTTGTTGCTGATGCCACGGCTACTGGTTGCTGCTGCTGCTGGTGGAGATGCTGGTGCTGCAGCTACTGTTGTTGCTGCTGCTGCTGCTGCTGGTGTTGCTGCAGCCGTTGCTTCTCCTGCGGCCCCCCAGTGAGGAATCTGCTCCTGTTGCTGCACCTGCTGCTGCTGCTGCTGCTGCTGTGCATTGCCACTTTTGCTGCAGCTTCTTCTGGCTGTGCTGCTGAAACTTCTCCCGCTGCTCCTGTTGTCGGCTGCTGCTGCTGCTGCTGCTGCTGTTGCTGCTGCTGCTCCTGCTGCACAGCTGCAGCCCGACCTAACCT